CACATACCTTGTCTACTTTCATACAACCAGATACCAGCCGATACCCCCCCCCCCGCTCAGGAGTGCGTACAGTTCACCATAGTTCCTGGGCTCCCTGTGTTTTTAAATGGTGATAGATCCTGTAGCTCTATGTTCGACGTACAACAACAAAATTAAAAAGAAGACGTCCAAATGAAATTGTTAGGGCGAAAGTCGATTGTAGGTCGCACCAAAGAGCTACGGAACCGCAGCTAGGTGTACAGCAAGTGAGTATGTTTCTGGCGAACCAGATAACACTGGGCGTTGATTGTCCGTATATTCCCCACGGTAACGTCGTAGTTTTCGTCACCCTTTTCTTCTAAAACGTACAGCCAATCAACATCGTCATCATCAAATGCGACAAAATCGTCGTACGCTTTCCACGTAGTACCGGTAATATTAACACCGAAATAGCTGTGAATAAAACAATAATACGCGCGTGCGCACGACTAAAAACAACGTCATCGTGTATGCTAATTTCAATGACCCCAAACAAGACGCGTAGAATAAATCAGCGCGAATGGTCTGTCATAGATGCGTTTCCCAATCGTTAGTTCAGGGACTGTGTTTGTTTGAGGTCATGTATAAGATCATGACCAGTTTCATACGTACCGTCGCCAGGCCACTTCGCCAAATAAAAGTCATCCATGTAAAAGTCATCAGGTAAACCACGGGCTAATTTCACGACGGTGGACGATTGCTGAGAGCAAAATAAGAATGTGAACAATATGATTCACCAACACTCCCCTCTGTCACGTGACATATCGTCCGACTACGATATCAAATTCTCCATCTTGGACTAGTATATTTGGCCCCAAGGTTGTCTACCTGAAGTAAAAGCCTCACAGTCGTCAAACTGCGTCGTATTTGCTATGCGTCTCGTGCAACGCCTGTTAACCTTTTCACCGCTAGATTTTCTTGCCGAAATTTGTCTGCATCTTTTTCTATATTCTTCAATATTTTTGGAAATGAACCATAATTTTGGAGCCAAAGGACAAAATTTGAGTCGATTTTGGCTATTTTATTTCAATCTTTTAAAGAAAAGTGTAGACTATGAATGGGACTATTTTGTGAGTTATGTATATTTAATATATATCTTTGAAAATAAATAAATAAATAAATGATTATCTTCAGAGTTATGATTTAAAAATGAGAAACCATAAAACTGGAAGGACTTCCGTCCGCGCCATCTTGCCATAAAAACGCCCGCATGAGGTAGTCTCAAAGTAAACGATTAAGTAAAATCATGACCAATAACCAGGTACACAACTTGACGATCACATTTTTGGCTTTTCGAAAGCTACTACTCCAGGAAATATAAGTGGATTATTTCAGTATTGCAACATCAGGGTTCATCCTGAGTAAATGCGGAAAGGATGGGAACCACATTGTGTACGTTCGCCATTAGACTGGCGCAGTCAGGGCGATTAATTTGTTTTTGTAGTTTAAATAAAATAAA